AATAGACTCAGAAGTTCCATTCTTTTTGTGTGAAAGAGTGAATGACTCACGGGAAGCTTTTCTGGGACACTTCCCTGGAACACCCTAGTTTGAAATCATGCTAAGTCCCTCACAAGTGGTGACAGAAGACACATTACCTTCAGCAAAGTTGTATTTATAGGGTTGAGGCGAGAATTACATTCAACCTTTAAAAACAAAAAGGAGAAAACAATTTTATAAACTGTTAGGAAATTAATCAGTGGCTTGGCATCAGAATGATCCTACAAGATCAGCAGCTCAGCTTGCTGGTGGCTGACCCAGTCAAATAGAGTACCAACACAGACTGTGGGATTTCAAGTGATTCCTGTCATAGTGGATACTTCAGAACACATCTACAAATCTGGAGACGAGCTGGCAAATTGACTCAGCAGTAAAGACACTTGCTGCCACCCTGATGACCTGTGTTTGATCCCCAGAGCTCAAACTATGGAAGCAGAGAACCAATTCTTGCACATTGTTATCTGATCTCACACATACACACAGAGTAAGTATATGTAATATTGTTTAGAATATTAGTTAAAGACGTGCTACATTTGTTTATGCTGTGGAATACTTGTTTAGTGATACAAAGATGTGTTTCATCTTTTTACGTTGCATTTGTTTAACTCTGTGAAGCTGTGTTATTTTGCCTGCCTAAAACACCTTTGGGTCTAACAAAGAGCTGAATGGCCAATAGCCAGCCAGGAGAAAGATTGGCGGGGATGGCAGACAGAGAGAATAAATAGGAGGAGAAATCTGGGAAAAGAGGATAGAGGAGCAAGAGAGGAAGGAGGAGGACACCAGGGACCAGCCACCCAGCTACACAGCCAGACACAGAGTAAGAAGTAAAGAAGTAAAGAAAAGATAAACAGAAATAGAGAAAAGTAAAAGCCCAGAGGTAAAAGGTAGACAGGCTAATTTAAGTTAAGAAAAGCTGGCTAGAAACAAGATTCCATGTGGTTACTTAGGAGCTGGGTGGTGGCCTCCAAAAGAGTAAAAAGTAAAAACAACACAACCAACTACATAATATAAATAAATACCGGGCAACTTCATCATCTGTTACTGTTTAATGAAGAGCACGCTGAATCTGACGGCTTTTCCTGCTGGCCATGACATGTGGGCAAGGAACATTCCTTCTCTGAGAGACAAAGAAGACTGTGGCCCTGTCCTGCTGGGATCTCCTCCATGTTGTCCTAGCACCAATGGCCTATCAGCTGGGCTTGTGCATTGTCTCCACCTCCCTGCTCAGTCCCTCCTGCCTAGAGTGGAGGGCTGCCCCCCCCCCACCCCAACCACTGATTCTTCTGCCTCAAGGTCGCTGGCTCCCCAGTGTGAAGCTGAATTCTTCTGTGACGCTCTCTTTTTTTCTTCTTTCACACTGAGATTTTACTGGTTGAGGGGCAGTGTACAGACATTTCAGTTCTTTGTTTTTGTTTTTCAAAACAGGGTTTCTCCATTTAGCCCTGGCTGTCCTAGAACTCGCTCTGTATGTAGATCAGGCTGGCCTCAAACTCATAGAAATCCGCCTGCTCCTGAGTGCTGGGATTACAGGTGAGCGCCACCACTGCCCTGCGACATTTCAGTTCTTAACACATGTACCCAAACTCTGAAGAGCCACATGTTTCTTTTTGAAGTTATCCCAGTGATGTTCCAGCCTCAAACTTGACAGTTTTCCTTAACATAAATAATAACACAATAATAACACTTGAACCCTCATAATCTTTGTTTCTACTGACTCACAATTTTGTGCCATATAAAGTATGTACTCAAAATTTCCATCTTTCACAGCCCATTATTACAATTGTTAGAAAAATGGACTGCCACAACCAGAGATGTTACAGTTCTGACAGGGCAGGGACCAAGGAGAAGTTTTCTAGAAAATGGTTCTACTAGAAACATGAGACCATTGGTATTTTGCCATGGGTGTTGGATCCCCTGGAACTGGAATTACAGTCAGTTTTGAGCTGCCATGTGGGTGCTGGGAATTGAACCTGGATCCTCTGGAA